CATTCCCAGTCTGATCCAGCTGGGCTCTTCTCATATTCCTTGTAGTTTACTCATATTTTTACCCTTGTAATATGTCATTTTAATGTTCTTGTATTTTAGGTACAATATGAAGAGATCTCCAAACAAGTCAACAATGTTAATGGCTTTTCACAGTTCAATACTGATTTGAAGCACTACCACATTTCTAATTATGCTCTGAAAATCTCCTTAATTACCCCAGGATGTCACAACTTCAGCTCATTTGTATTTCTCTCACTCATGTTTGAAGGTTTCATTCAAACAGTTTGCAATGCCTCTGCTAGCTCACTCAAGAAAGGCTTCTCTTCCCTAGCTGGCTACTCCTTAATTTATAAGGCCCTGTCCTTCTAACATTTAAATAGAGAACTGACCATCCCTTTCAGATAGGTCACACGTGACAGCAAGGTGACAAGTCAACAACAGACTGATTTATGTATAAGTTGTTAGTTGCGGGGGGGGGGTCAAACACATGGCCTGTGGGCCATATGGAGCCCCCAGGCCTTGCTCTGCAGCCCTCTTGCTGCTCAGAATGGCTCCCCCTTCCCCCAGGTCTGGGTCCCATCAGTGGCACAGGCACTACTGCAGTGAGCTCCCATGAAGCCATCGTCCCATCCTGCTCTTTTCCAGAGGCTCAGGAAGAGAGTGGGTTGGGCTGGCAGCCTCACAAGAGCTCACCCCAGCATGCCCCGCTGGTCAGCAGAAGCAGGCAGAGCATGCTGGGGAAAATTTGTCAGTTCAGGTACAAGAGGCTCAACATGCCAATTTCAAGAAGGAAGGCTGGGCCGCAGGGGGGGGGGCGTCAAGGGAGGGTTTCTGGGCAGGAAAAACGGGAGAAAGGGACGGGCCATTCCAGAGAAGCGGTCATTGTGCTTGGGCTGTGTTCAGAGAAGGAGCTGTTTGCAGAGAGTTCTGTTTCATGCAATGAGTCCTTTAATTTATGATACGGAAATGCGTGGGCCCCCAGGTTCTGTGTTGAAGTCCTCATGCAGCCCATGAGATATGAAAAATTGGACCACCATGTGCAAGAGGAAGTTTCTAAAGTCAGGATAATATAGCAAGTTCTGGGAAGACAACCCTTCAAAAGAATTATACTTATATTGAGCTAATTATAACTTTCAACAGCTGAAGCTCATTTTGACATCAACATAAATGCACAAGTTAATTGAGTAACAATGAATCAAATAAGACAAAATCATTATTCAATCAAATAATGAATCAAATACACAAAACAAGCTAACTTTATGACTTTCCTTAATAGGAACAAAATAGTGGCATCTTGATGTTTACAGATGTTAAAAGCCTATAATAGCAAAAGGATGTAATTTATATGAAGTGGTTTTGATTAATGAAACAGAAAAAGCAATACTGTAGTAAGAGTATATGACTTGATCATTTAGACACAATTTCTTCAGATGAAGAGAGGCTGCAATCTTAAATGCACTGACATTATTCAGTTTCTGTCCCACTCCCTCCCAATGACTTGAAAAAGGGAATGACAGTTTAAGAAAATGTACAACAGACATAAAACTAAAATTAAAAATTGCTTACTATGCTGGACTAAATTTATTTATTTATTTATTTATTTAGAACATTTCTTTGCTGCCCCATTTGCAAAAAGCCTCGGGGCGGCTTACAAAATTCACTTTTTCTACTGATGAAATTGTCACTATGTCCTATTTCACAGCTGGCTCAACATGTGAATCATCTGATTATTCATGGGCTAAACAACCTAGTGTTTCAGATTCGCACATCACACTCAACCTGAAACCCATCCTATTGCAGGTTGTTACTTAAAAGCCGAAGCAAGGAGAACATGAGCAGCAGTTGTATGCTCTCGCTCCATCTTGTGCATGGGAAATTGTGGGTTAATTAATCCGCGATTTGCTGTTTCCCAGGAGACACCAGTCTTTATGTGCATGCTAGAAAAGCCATCCACATCCATGTGTGTTGGACTAAACACTGTTCCATGTGAAGTCTGGGGGCTCAGAAATGTTGGCCTGGACTATCTAGCCACTAACTAGCCACTAACTGCCACCCCCACCACAATCCTCAGCATGTGAAAATAGCCATGGATCTTATCTAATTTGCACTAAGGTTTAGAGAAGGTAAGAAAGTTTCTCCTCCCTCTCCAGTGTAAATGAGAATTCTGTGAGGGGACCTACAGACTGATAGCATCTTGCTCATCACAACCAGAACATTTCTGCTTGGTGAGCAGGTGTGACAGTACCTGCTTATTATTCAACAGGAGCAGGGGTCCACATTTCAGCTATCCTGCCACAGCCAGTGTTTAATCACGTTCTGAAAGGTGGTAAGGCAAACCCAAAACTTCCTCTCTTGCTTGTCAGCAATTGTCCCTGCACTTGTTCTGAGTTTTGGAGGGCCAAATGCTATGGCAGGGAATGTCCACTCCAGAAAGCCAGAGAAGTATGGCTAATCCATTTTGGCAGCAGAAGCAAATGGCCTGGACCAAGGTGACCTTGGTCACCTACTGCAGGCACCAGTCTCTCACTCGGCGTCAGAAAGGACGGTTCATTACCAAACTAAGCCCTGTTCTCTTCCCCAGCTCCAAAATCTTACCACCCTTAAGCAGAAGCAAGCTCCATTGAAGATAATGGGTCTCCTTAGTGAACATACATAGGACTAATCCAAAGGAAAGGAGCACTACTCTGACAATCAAAAATTTGGTTTGGTTACTAAGGCAACCCAAACTTTGCAGTTTGGCTAGTAATCTCCAATTGCATAACACAGGACAGTCTTGGTGGGTGAGATAAACTCCTGTATTTCTATACGCCAAACATGTCTGAGCGTGATTTGGAATAGCAGCATACAAAATTGACAGTGGTCATTCCGTTTCACATCATGGCCATCCATACACTTTTGGGACGCTTTCAAGAAGGGTGTGAAAGAAACAGCCCACTCCTGCTTTCCTCCATCATCAGAAATTTGATAAAGAAGGTATCAAGTCTCCACCCTTCCGGGTTTTCAATTAAATCCCCCTCACAGCAAATTAAAGACAGGTTGGACACTCACTGATGTTTACATTTTTGACCACTGTTCAGCTAGTTCATAGAAATGCTTCCATACAACATCAATGAGAAATACTAGGTTCCCTATGTCCAGTGCAAACATGAGCGTTATCAGGCACAATTACAAGATTGCATGCTTCTTCCCTACCAGTCCCTCAATTCATGCAGGCCTCCAGCCTTAACCTGGGTTAATATTAACCAGGGTTGGCTAACAAAGGTCTAACCTCAGTTAAGAGGGAATCATGTTGGCATCAATGGTATGTTAAGTAACCCTTAACCCTGGTTAAGAAAGGCGTGGATTAATAAGCACTTACATAGGGTGCTCCTTCTTTAGCATGGTTAAAAAGAGATGGGGATCAATAAGTCCACACCACCCCCAGTACAGATAAGTGTCATCTGTACCATTCCAGTCCACTTGCAAACTGGTAAGAACCTGTTTTACCTGCCTTTCCCAGCAGATATTCTACTATAAAAATAGCCAGAAAATTCTCAAATTCTCTTGTGCTAGAAGTATTTATGAGTGAGACATGGTTTATGTTCCAAACACAACAAAACCCCTACACAACTCTATTCTATAAGATGAAGACCACACCTTCTGCAATCTGTAGTCCTTTATATTAAAAGAGTCCATAAAACTACCATAATGAAGACCATGGCTCACTATGTCAAGAAGGAGAGCCAAATCCAACATGGAAGAAAAAAATTACCTACGGCTTTTTGTCTACATAATGATTGTTTTGTTTCTCCTTTTTATATTATTAATATAAAAGGATTCTAAAGGGAGAGGGGAAGTCACAGAACTAAAGAGGGGACAGAAACTACATCAGGATTGTTCAGCCATCAATACATAGAATATTGTCCATTAAACCACATGATCCCAGAACAAACAAGCAGATAACTGGAGAAAACAAGGTGCACTATGACATTACACAAAGCTACAACAAATCGAGCAACATTTTTCATATAAGGAAAAAATAAATAAATCTGCAACCACTAGAAAGTGTATAATCTTTATTCTTTTGTGGTAAATACGATTTGTACCACCAGATTTGAATCACAGCCTCTATTTTCACAGAAAAGCCATTATTTCATAACTTCACTCATTCACAGAGAACAATCTCTGCTCATGTTTTATAGGGCTAGGACATCCTTTACATCTTAAGTTTTGATCTGTTAGCCTTGGTTCAAACCTTCCTTCTGCGGATGGAAAAGTAACTGCAATCGTCTGTCCTGGCTTTTGTACTGGGACACACTGACGGCAGGTTGTGACTATTTTGGGTAGGAGCTTCATAGCCATGCCAGTATGCCTTACCAGGCGGCTTTGCCTTACCCATTTCAGATGCCAAATAGCCAATCATTTCCAATTACTGATTCCACAAAGATTCTTCAACCATTTTGAAGAGGAAACTCAAAAGTTCTTCCGTGACCAAACGTCAAAGATCTTAAAATCATCTTTGTAAGTTCAGTAAAGGTCTCCCTTCGGAGAGCTTGGACCTAGCCCAAGCTCTGGCTGGCAGAGCAACAACAAGGTTACAAGAGATGCATGCACTCAACACAAACTGGGAATTGAAACAAATGCAGGCAGAGGTAGAAATCCATTTCAATAGCTGTTGCTATGTTTTGAGTTACTGCTGGATTCAAGTTAAGCAAATTATAACTGAAAAGAGCTTCAAGTTGCTACATCAGACTTCCCCAAACTAGCCCCTCTAGGGCTGGACTACAACTCTCATCATCCCAACTGGTATGGCCATGCTGGTTGGGCATTATGGGTGTTGTAGTCTAATAGATCTGGCTGGCATCAGGTTGAGGTTCTGCTACACTATCCATCAACTTCAGCCTGGAAAACTAAATACGCCAACCACCATAAGGTTATAATAGGATCATTAGATCATTTATCTACAAGTGTAGGCAACCATTGCAATGCTGTCATGAACCCAATAGAGAACAGCTTCTCACCTTTATCCTGAGAGCAAGACAGGATTTCTTCCTCTTTGGGGTTAGTCACCTGGGTGATAATGGACGGGTTGTCCATGGAAACAGAGTGCGTTTTCACCTGGTTATTTCCCTCCCAGAGGCAGGTTCGGTGTGCGTTTATGGGATTCTTTTTATTTGTTTTCCTTTTAGGAAATCAATAGGCGGATTTATATGTGGAAAAAATAACTCCTCCAGGAATGAAGCCAAGCCACAAAAAAAAAAAAGGAAAAAAAAAAGAAAGAAAGAAATTGTAGTAGAAGGCAGCAGGCATACAGGTCTCTTCTGTAGTTCTTCAAAGAAGAGAGGGAGTTTAAAAAAAAATTGGGGGGAGACTCAAATCCGAAAAGCCTACCGCACCAAAAGCAAAATTGTACACCACTCCGAATAAGAAAATAAACCTAGTGCCGCTCCAAATCTCTATGCCAGGCACAAAAATACCCGCCTGAACAGCCACCTCAGAAAAGCTTTAAAAAGACAGGCAGGGGAGAAAGCCCTGACTGACCATCACAACCCACAAAAACAGCACCCCAATTCCTCCGACGTCTCCTAAATGGCTACCCACCCCAGGCTGCCCTGAGCTGATGATCCCCTTAAAAAACCTGCCCCCACCAAATCTGCTCCCCCAAACCTCATCCAGAGCTGTCCACACATCACCCTCCCCAGGGGATACCCCTGGTCTAGCATGGTCCCCCTCCCCAAAGGACCCCTCTTCGAGGATTAGCCCTGAAGTTATCTACCCTCTGAATGGGCCCTCGCGCCAGAAAAAGCCAGCTTCCCCACCGGGGGGATCCCAACTCCCCTTCCTGTCACCTCCCCGGGCGATTCCTGGCACTTGGCCCCCTCCCCTCACCCTACATGCCCCCTCCCACTGCGCTGGCCCTCCCCACCGGCTCCCTCGGGATTATCTCATCCCTCTCCCCGCCCCCTCCTTCCTCCTCCTCCTCCTCCTCCTCGCCTCCTTCCCCGCGTCAGCTCTGAGGGGGGAGCCCGAGGCAGGACGAGGCTGGGGGAAGGGGGGAAGGAGGAGGAGGAGGAGGAAGAGGAGGCGCGGCGCCCGGGCTCCGTGCTGCGCCACAGCCGCCGCCGCCGCCGCCGCCGCCGCAGCCTCCCTCAGCCAGCCAGCCAGCCGCCCGCCCGCCTGTCACCGCCAGTCCCAGGCGCCGCCTCCGCCGCGCCGCCGCCCGCGCCGCGCCCTCCTCCGCCGCCGCCCCCTCTCCCCTCAGCGCGCCAGCTGCGCCCGCCGCCCGCCCCTCAGCCCCGCGCGCGCCGCCGAGGACGAGGAGGAAGAGGAGGAGGAGGAAGAGGAAGGCGCCGCCGCAGCCGCCGCCGCCTCGGGCCACAACATGGAGGCATGGCGCGCCCGCCCGCCCGCGCGCCGCTCCGCCAACCCGGCCGCGCGGTAAACAACGGGGCGGGGCCACCGCGCCTCGCGCCCGTCCATCACGCGGGGGGCGGGGCCTCGCGGCCTGGCCGAGGCGGGGCAAGTCAGGCCGAAGGGAAAGGGGCGGTGTTAGGAGAGGGGCCGGCTGCCTGTGGCTCCGCCTTCCTCCCCGTGAGTGGCGGGCGCGGGCAGCCGAGGGCTTTAAGGGGGCGCGACGCGGGCGTGCGGGGAGCGAGGCGGTTCCTTGCGTGGGTGCCCTGTGACGCCCCCACTTCCCCCTCCCTTCCTGTTCGCTCCGTTGGCATGTTAAATTAAACGGGTGTTTCTGAGCATGTACAGAGTGCATCGCTCTTTTCCCTCCACGTTTTACTCTCTGCCCCCCCTTTAGTTGTATAGATGCATCAGCTGCGCTGGAAGATGCATTTAAAATGTGCAGCTCAACAGTGTAGAGCGCGCGGGAAAGTCTCAGCCTGGTTCGGGAACTGCCTCGGGCTCTGAAAAGCAAAAGCGGCACATCTGGGCCTCTGCGAAACGCATCCCTCCTTCGAGAGGCAGCTTTATTGCAGCCGCAGAACGGGGGAAGAAAAAAGCGCGTTTGAGCATGTGCGCGATGGCGGTGCAACAGCTAGAGAGGCGTCGCTCACAGCCCTGTCGAAGCAGGTGGGACGGGGGGGGGCAAGTAAGACAAAAATAAAACCAGGCTTGCACGCGCCCCCCTCCCAAGTGCCTCGAAACTGCTTAGTGCCGCGATTCCTTCGCGGATCTGTCCGTGCCTTTTGTATTTTGCAGCAGGCAAGGCTGGCTGGGGGGCATACGGATCTCCATGCACGGATACGACCTGTCCCCACCACCCACCTTTACATAGAGTCGTTGGGCTCAGGGAGGGCCGCGCCCGAGCCCTCCTCAGCCCGGCTCGCTCTGGACGTATGTGTGGGACGACAGCTCCCATCACGCCCTGGGATGACGGGACTTGTCGTCCAACGCGCCCGGAGAGGCTCGAAGCGGAGCAGGTCCTGGGGTCAAGCGGAGCGAAGTGCTCGTAGACAGCGGGGCTCCCCGAGGGACGCCGCTCCCCATCGCGGTCCGCCGGGTTACGCGCCTCTCGCTTCGGCCCACACCGCGGGGGTGGTAAGAAAGAGCAGGAGGGGTTCCTGCCTCTTGCAAGGCCTGGAGAAAACGGACCGGGAGCGGGGTTGGTCCTCGCCCAAGAGCATGCAAAATCCCGGAACTTGCATCTCCAAACCTGCCTCGATCGCTCTCTTTCTCTCCATGATCCATCGATTTGGGGACTGGAGGAGGAATTGGTTTTTTTGCTTTTGCGGATCTACGCACAAAAATACCGAGTTTTGCATGTGGGGTGGCAATGAGTCGTCTTTCGGAGATCCCTTTGTAAAGGTGAAATTTTTAAAAATCGTAACTAGCTTCCTTACCGCAACACCCCAATGTTTATCTCTGCTGGGATATGAAGTAGGATAAAATATTTTGGAATGCTGTCTTGTAAACCAGGCCCGCAAGCCCTATATTATTTATTTATTTAAAGCTGGTCTATCCAGCCCTTCACCTTGTCTCCGGGTGGTAATACAATAAAACAAATAAGATACAGCATCCAGATGATAATAAAATCAATCTTGGGCTGAAACACCCAGTTTCAGATATATATTTTTTTGGGGGGGGGAGGCGCATTCCAGTGTTGGGGGCCTGAAAAGAAAGAAGGAGCAGCTAGACTTACTAAAAGTAAAAGCCTATATCAGTGCAAAGCCTTTGGTGTCGCCTATTTGAGAGGCCTTTCAACCTGTCAGAAGCCAGAAAGGCTGCGTGCACAAAGGGCTGGGACAGTGGAGGGAAGGATCATGGTTTTGGGAATCTTTGGCACCCCTTCTATAAGCACTTACCTGGAGTAAGTCCGGTTACGCTTAGGTGTGCATAAGGCTTGCATAGTTAACCATCTTATCTGAATCATTAGCAGCTTGTCCTCTGCGTGTCTACTCAAAAGTAAATCCCATTCCGTTCAATGGGACTTCTTCCATGGGACAACTTCTCAGTTAAGTATGCATAGGATGATGATCCTAATTCACAATTCATTGGTAACATTTCAATTTCGGGTTGCCTCCCAGTGAAAGACATTTTAATTTTAGCTGATTCAATGAATGTATGGATCTACTTTGCATGCAGGTAAAGCAGTATTTCTGAAGTTTGAAAAACCCACAGGCTTGCTTTAAGATGATAAGATGATTTCATATCAAGAGCAGTCTAGAAAGGGCACCCCTTCCTAGATTAGGCCCTTCTAAGATTGTTTCCCATCTGCTATTTTTAGGAATGCTTGTATTAAATGTAATACATTACATTTTTTTTACTAATTTCAGTTGAAATCAGTAGAACTTACACTTGCATAGCCTTCCCAAATTAATCCAACCGACTGCTTAAATGCTATATCCTTATTTAAATGTATTTGCCTACCATTCAGAATAAAGTATAAGCATGTTTTTGAAGAAACTGAAGGAAGAAAGTGAAAACTTTTTAAACCTGCCACATTGCTAGAAGGAAAGCCGAGGTTTATTCTTCCTCTCTTTGGCTATCTAGGAGAATGTAGGATAATTTCTATGTAGACCAGCAGAGTTCAAAGATTTCAAACAAGCTCAGCTTTCATTAGCATTGTGACAGTTCTCACTGTCACATACTGACGTTGATTTTCAAGCAAGCACTATTAGCTTCAATGGCAGGACAGAAATGATGGAATGGGAGGATTAAAATGCTAGACATGCCTTCAAAATACACAACTTTTGCACACACCCCCAAGTGTGTTCTGAGATATTATCTAAAAATGAAGACACCTGCGATTTTGCCGGAGAAAAGGCGCTTCTTTATTATTCTCCGGGCAATATCTGTGGCTTGTCCAGGTGCATCTTTTGTCATCTGTCACCTGAGTGTCTCTCACTCAAGATTAATGCAAAGCCATACGACAGATTACTTTTTCTCTGTCATAGCTTAGAATGAGCATTCGTGCCGCAAAGCTTCCTCGCTTTCTCCTGCATGTTGTTGTGGGTATTCCCACATACACTTTAGTAATGGTGAAACCCCACACCAAAAAAATCTTCATAGAATCTCATGTGTAATCGCATCCTAAAGGCACATGTGCTGAAATGGATCTGCAATTGTGTCTAGCAAACCTACCCCCCCCCACACACACACACATGCCTCACTGCGCATCGATCCACAATGCAAAAAGTCCACAGGTCATTACCACACAAGAGATGGAGACATGTCCCTCTTCTTTCAGCCTAGGCCTTCCCACCCTCAGCATTCTCCAGACAGAGAATTTATCAAGTATGAAGCCACTAGTCCTGATGGCTATGTGCTACTTCCTGCTGGTTCCAGATGGGGAATGCTGGGAATTGGAAGACTTTTCTTTTGACTGCATAGGATTGTACCCCAAATAAGTCTCTGACATCCCTGATCCGGCCCCATCTTGAGCAACAAGGCTTTGCAAATCAAAATGGTTGCCCTCCTCACATTTGTCACTAATTTGCAATACATGATTATAGCTGGCCCTTTGAAATCCTCTAATTTCCCTTCGATCATATATATTGACACAGCACACCTGTTTAATCAAGAGACTAAATATCTTTACTCGTGCCAACCTGGTGCAAAGGGTGTCAAGGTTGCCTGGGGTTTGGTTTCCTTTAGGAAGAAGTCACCAGATGCTTACTGGCATTTTTTTAATACTTGAGAGTATTGATAAACATAGGAAAAATCGTGCTGGATCAAACTAAAGGCCTTCTAGTCTGGCGTGTTCTTTGCTACAAAGGCCAACAAACAAACCCATGAGCAGGGCAAGATTCCAACAGCACCCCTCCTGCTCACATTTCTCAGTGACCCATGCACACAAGCACATCACCTCTGACCCTGGAGGGAGCACGTAGCCACCAGGACTAGTAGCTTGATACTTCATAAAATTGTCCAACCCCCTTTTAAAGGCATCCAAGTTGGTGGCCATCACTTCATCCTGTGGAAGTGAATGTGATAGTTTTAACTATCCATTGTGTGGAGAAGCCCTTCCTTTAATTTGTCTGGAATCTTATACCCATCAGCTTCATTAGATAATCCACTGGCGTCTAATATTCCTCCATTCCACGGATTTCCTCTCTCCCCCCCACACACACTTCCAAGACTTCTCAGAGGCCAAGCATGGAGTGGTCTCAGTCCCCCATCTGGCTGAGCCATTGCAGCACCCAGTGGAAGCAGTGTGCTGGGTCAGGGCCGCTGCTGATCATGGTGGAGCCACCAATAACCCTCACTGCAGTTCCCAAGGTCTATTTGTAAGTCAGGGGGAGGGCTGGCAGCCTTCCTGCTCCCCTGCCCCACTGAGAAGTGTGGGGCGGGGGAATGTTAGTCCTCCCGCAGTTCGAGGGGGCAGTGTCTGTGGCTGTGCCCAGTTGTGTTGATGGACATA